GAAAGTACAAAAAAATGAAGTAAACCTAAGGTAGTCTTATAGATTGAACTCTCATTAAATCTTTACAAAAATATATGTTCTTTAAAGGTATCTTTATGTTAATATTTCAATAAATTATTCTTATATAATCTTCCTTTGGAAAATAGCAGTCTTTTCCTGAAATTTGACTTTTTTGACAGTGTGATCTTATACTTTTTAAAATTATTTTTTTTCAGAAAATTACAGTGATGATTTTGAAGATGAAGAGGATATTGACACACCTTTGACTACTAAAGATGAAAAGACTCATTGCAAAGGGAATCTCAAATCAGAAAAAATAAATGCACCCAAACAGGTATACATCAATTATATATTTGACAGTTTTGCAACTTCTTTCATGAACTTGGCTATTACCATACAAAGAGCTCAAAATGTGGAGTTCTTCATAGTCTTGCTTGTGGTAAACTTACAGGTCTCTTAACACTCAGTTGAACATTTTCTTAACTTAGGATATCAATTTAATATAAATTTTAGTGGAAGAAATATGATAATTGACAAGCAATTTCTATTGGCAAATAATTTCCTTCAGTTAACCTTTAGAAATTTAAAACTTAATTAAAAATTTCAGAACTAATTTTTAAGGATTTTGGGAATCTGTGAAGCCTAGACAAAAACACAAAGCATACCTTTTTTTAATCTTTTAACTTTTAATATGTCTGTGTTTTTATATATAATATAGCTTTCTTATAGACTGCATATAGCTGGGTTTTACATTTTGTCCAGTCTGACACTCTCCAACTTTTAATTGAAGTGTTTCTACCCTATACAAAAATGTATTTATTGATATGGTGGTTTACTGTTTTGCCATTTGTTTTCTATCTTTCCATCTTTTTTTGTTGTTGCTTTTGTCCTGCATTCTATTGGATTGACTATTGATAGTATTCTATTTTATTCCAACTTTGGGCTTTTCAGTTATACCTCTTTAACATTTAAAAGTATTTTTTAAGAAATGAAAAAGTGAATACTTATGTAAAATTTATGTTTATCTACATATTTATCATTTATCATTCCCAGTGCTTTATTTTGCTTTTTTTTTTTTTTTTTTTTTTTTTTAAAGAGACAGACTCTTGCTCTGTCTCCAAGGCTGGAGCACAGTGGTGCAAACATAGCTCACTGTTACCTTCAACTCCTGGGCTCCAGCAGTCCTCCCACCTCAGCTTTCTGAATGGCTAGAACTATAGGTATGCACTCCTTGAGCACTTTAATGATTTCATTTTATTGTCTTCTCACCTTATTTCTCATGAGAAGTCACTGGTAATTTGTATTATTGTTATTTTTGTATATATTATGTCTTTTTTTCCCATTTTCAAGATTTTCTCTTTATCCTTGTTTTTTGGCAGTTTGATTGTGATGCATCTTGGTGTATTTTTCTTGTATTTATCCTGTTTGGAGTTGATTGAGCATCATTGATCTGTAGATTTATAGTTTCCATCAAAATCAAAAATGTTTTTGCTATTCTTAAAATGTCAGTTCTGCTTTCTATCTTCTGCCATCTGACCCTAATTATATGTTGGAACGGTAAGTTTTGTCCTACAGGTCACTAAGATGCTTCCATTTTTTAAGGCTGTTTTTTTTCTTTCCATGCTTCAGTTTCTATTGCTACACCTTCACGATACTGATCTTTTCCTCTTTCTTTAATCTAGAAGTTCCTTTTGGATCTTTTCTTAAATCTCTTTAATATCTTTCCTCATTATGTTCT